TTTATTTTTGAGCCTTTGAAATATAAAGAGGAAATGCTTTTTGTTAACTTGATCTAAAATCTTTGTCGGTGGTGGTCGAGATGATTCAGTGCTCGGTGGTGGTCGAGTTGATTCAGTGCTCGGTGGTGGTCGAGTTGATTCAGTGCTCGGTGGTGGTCGAGATGATTCAGAGCTCGGTGGTGGTCGAGTTGATTCAGTGCTCGGTGGTGGTCGAGATGATTCAGTGCTCGGTGGTGGTCGAGATGATTCAGTGCTCGGTGGTGGTCGAGTTGATTCAGTGCTCGGTGGTGGTCGAGTTGATTCAGTGCTCGGTGGTGGTCGAGTTGATTCAGTGCTCGGTGGTGGTCGAGATGATTCAGTGCTCGGTGGTGGTCGAGATGATTCAGTGCTCGGTGGTGGTCGAGCTGATTCAGAGCTCGGTGGTGGTCGAGCTGATTCAGAGCTCCGTGGTGGTCGAGCTGATTCAGAGCTCGGTGGTGGTCGAGTTGATTCAGTGCTCCGTGGTGGTTGAGTTGCTTGTCTTTCCTCGTGTTTCTGCAGAAAGGTTACGGCTACAAAGGGACAAAGTTCCACAGAGTCATCAAAGACTTCATGATCCAGGGAGGAGACTTCACAGCCGGAGACGGAACAGGAGGTGAGACACTTTAAGTATCGACTTCAGAAGCATCAACACATCCACAGAAACACGTACCTATACGGACATGAAGGAACTGTAGTTTGTAGATAATCCATGAAATCAGTTTGTATGTAATCCATGTGATCCTAAATATGGAACAAAAAGGTGGACAAGTCAAATAAAACCTGGTCTTTCATCCAGGAGATCTCTGTTTGTCACATAACTTCTGTACAAAACAGTCTCACTGCACGACATGAAATAGTCACAAAATACAATCGATTGGTTTTGTGGACATGGACACAAATTGTCCAGGTTTCCCGAGGTGTCCCTCAGCGCAACTTTTCTTTTCGGGACGACGTTATGTTAAAAACGGAACTTATGTTCATGCAACAAAACCACTTAGCAAGGTTTAAGAAAAACATCATGTTTGGGCTTAAACTAACTACGAACAGGTTTAGGCAACTTCACTAAAAGTTAGGCTTAGGAAACTAAAACCACCAACAGTTAGGTTTAGGAAACTAAACCCACCAACAGTTAGGTTTAGGAAACTAAACCCACCAACAGTTAGGTTCAGGCAACTAAACCACCAACAGTTAGGTTCAGGCAACTAAACCACCAACAGTTAGGTTCAGGCAACTAAACCACCAACAGTTAGGTTCAGGCAACTAAACCACCAACAGTTAGGTTCAGGCAACCACCATAAAACCACAACGCGGTGTTGAACTACAGTCTTCTGGTTAACACAGCTCTTTAGTGAGTGTTAAAGGGTTGATTAGCATCAAAAACATCAGTGCAGTAGTTTAACTTTATACAGACCAACGACATAAGATGCAAAAAGAAAACTTACAGAATGTAACAAAGCAAATGTTCTTATACTTCCTCCTTCCAGGTCACAGCATCTATGGAACCACTTTTGCAGATGAAAACTTCAAACTGAAGCATTTGGGAGCAGGATGGGTGAGCTATATGCTATATATATTTATGTATATTTAGGAATATAAATAAATGCTGATTCTACTTTCTCTAGAGCTTTGGCTATATAGGCGACTAAAAATTCAACATAACGTGTCAACATGATGATGATTTTGTATGAAATGAAGACTTATTGTGTGCGTGTGTGTGTGTGTGTGTGTGCGTGTGTTCATGTACCAGGTGAGTATGGCGAACGCCGGTCCGGACACCAACGGATCGCAGTTCTTCATCCTGGCTGCCAAAGCGCCGTGGCTGGACGGGAAACATGTGGTTTTTGGCAAAATCCTGGACGGGATGGTGGGTCGACACTCTTCAGTAATCTGCTGCATGATGAAAATAATAATAATAAAAAAAAGAGGTTAATAGATTGACTAAGTTGTTACTGTGAAGTCTGGAATCTAAATACCTAAAAAGTTACTTAACTCATGAATGAATTAATTCTTAAACCAAACAAATACAACATACAGTTCATTCACACGATCCACATGAGGTCAGCCTGCTTCCTGGTTCAGGGGCTCCGCCCACACAGGAAGTAGTGTAATCAAGCCCCGCCCTCTCTTAAAGGGGATTTCTTTAGTTTGTCTTTCCAAAAAGCTAAAACATGATCTTGAGATGTTTTTGCACATATTTTAACATAAATCAGTGCCAACATCTCACCGACTAACATGAACGTGATAACTAACTTTACTTCAGTGAGGAGTTTGAGTACAGGACTTTTACTTGTAGTGGAGTACTTTAACAGTGTGGTATTTGTACTTTTACTGCAGTAAAGGATGTGAATACTTCTTCCACCACAGCCAGAACTGATACGCAGCATCATAATGGATGCTTCTAAATAAAACCCCAACCAATTGCTGCTTGTTATAGATGATGTCCTACAGTATAAAGCCTGTATGAAACCTTCTGTTTGTCTCCTCTGGCAGTCTGTGGTTCACACCATCGAGCTCCAGGACACCAACGACAGGAACCTGCCGTACACCGAGTGTGTGATCGTCAACAGCGGCCAGATCCCCGTCAAAGAGCCCTTCGTGGTGGAGGTGGAGGGCTGGTAGATGGTTTATTATATATTATTATATTCTGGTGATCAATCAGAAGTCCAATTTGCCAAACTCACTTTTTCACAACATCACTTTTGCATGTTAACGTGCTAACGCTAGCAAGAAGGGCTCGGTATTAATAACATTTTAAAGAAATATATACATGATTTTCTTTTTTCTTATTCAGCAAAAATGTAGCTTCTCAAATTCGTCATTGCTTATTGTTTTGTAAACACAAAAAAAGCTGCACAAGAATGATCAGAAATTATGATTGAAAAGTTGAAATCTTTGATTAAAGAGCCTGAACCAAAACTGATAATTTGACTAAGCAGCTTTAAATATATTTAAAGGTTTTTGATACTGCTTTGGAGGCATTTTGTTTGGAACCCAAAACAACTCAGCTCTATTAGCAAACTAACATGGACGCCAACATGTTTACATGCTACCTGTGTGGCTAAATGTTACGTGCTAAACGTTAGCATGTTAAAATCTAGATGGCTTGCTAATGCTAGCATGCTAACAAACACTTTCTTCCTAGATTTTTACCTTATGTGGAGATAATATAAGTAATATTTATTATTAAAAGAACATATCACACATTGATGTCAAACAACTGTCTGTGAACTTTCACAGACAGTTGTTCTCCTGTTGTGACAGTCCAGACAGTCACAACAGGAAATACAGGTCAAAGAAATATGAATCTGCGGTAAATAGAGTGCTACATGGTTGATGTATTTTTGTTACTAACAGAATGTTAGCTTCACTGGTTCCCTACAAAAGAATCCAATGCGATTCTTCCATCTATATATCAGAGAACTAAACGTTTAAATCTCTTCAGCTTGTGTGAAACACAGACTTTATTTCAGACTTCTAACCAAAAACACACTGACTTTGAGTCGAGGGAACAGGAAGTGTAAAAATGCTGACTGGATTTTAGGACTCATCCCTGTAGCACTCTATTCAAATGTTGTTAAAACTGGGCTTGAAGTTCAGATAGAAATTAAGAGAAGCAAAATTAAATTCATCGTGAATAGTAAAGGAAACCACAAACATTCGCATGTCATAATATTTTCTATGCTCATATGCACAATTCATCCGATTCACTGTGCGTCATGCTAACGGGTTTTATACGTTAGCATACTTGCTATATTCAATGTGTGGTGCCAGTTAGCATCATCCAAACTAAATAATGAACTGTGACGAGGACAAACATCCAGCCCAGGTCTGAAACAGTCACAAAATACAATCTATTGGTTACAGGGACATATTTTGTCTTTTTTCTTTAGCTGGCGGTTTCGTTGCCTCAACCCAACTGTTGGTTTCGTTGCCTCAACCTAACTTGTGTTTTTAACATGTCCCTGTACAAAAAAATAATATATTGCTTTTCGTGACTATTTCTTGAACTGCTGACTGTGGTGAAACATTATGGAAACTTGCACTTCCTGAACAATGTAGCTCTTCTTTAATCTCTTATTGGCAGCATCATTCTTTATTTGACAAATCTGTTCACACTTTCTATGCATCTTGTCAATACGTAAATATCAATTTCAAACATATGCAAAAGACTAACTGTAGCAAGTGTCAAATGCCATTCTTGCACTTTAATATTATAATTTTTGTTATCTTTCTATCATTGAAAATGAAGATTCTCAGCCTTCTCAGGCTTTGATTAAAAAGAGACCTTCTCTTCCTGATACATTATTATGCGCGTTTGCAAAAACTACAGCAAAACCTGCACGAGAAGGAAAAAGTGTGGATATTAATACTGTAGCCGTCCTCTCAGTAATGATTTTAAACGTTGTACTTTGTTTGGTGGTGTGTTGTTACCAGATTCTGACTCTTCTAGTTTTATCTTTTGTCGTTGTTCTTGTTATTTATTGCTGTGATTTCCGACACTAAACTGTCACGGTAGCATTAAAGTCTAGAGACGTAATCACTGATGTTCCTTCATGTCACTGAAGTTTATGCAGCTTTTAAAACCTCTGTAACTACATATCACTTCTGTTTGCATTATATTTGTAGTAACAGCAGGTGTGTGTTTTCTACAATAAACAATATGCTGTTGAAAAACCCTGTTCAGCTATTTTGTCTCTGCTCTGTTTCTGTTTAGTCGAGCACTAGTGTGTTTGTTGTACTAGCCGTGTGTCCATAAACTTATGTTTATGCACATTTTGTGTCGTATCGTCTGTTGTCTTTGTTGAAAAAGAGTTGATGAATACATGATTAATAATAAATCATTTCTGATGCAGCGAACTTTTAACTCGTGACTTACTCTCGTTGTGTTCATGTCTCAGAAGAGAAATGTCAATTCAACAAGTTTCCATCACCTGGTTTGGAGCTGATAAACTCAGCTACGGCGTAGTTTGGTCAGAAGTTAGTGCTTTAGGCTACACATGGCTGTAATCTACCAGTACAGAGAAGAAGAAGAAGAAGAAGAAGAAGAAGAAGAAGAAGAAGAAGAAG